TCTCATACTGTGCCTGAAATCTCACGAGAGCAAGCAGCAACAGCTGGAAGGCAGAACCGGACAGTAGCCTGAAAAGTTCATTCATTTATTTTATGAAAGATTTATAGAATAATGGCTGACTTTTTGCCAGACTTCGACTTTGTGGTGGAGGAATATGATTTTGCAGAGTTTGATGGCCGCCCTTATTTATTTGAGCCAGAATACACTGACGAAGAGCTTTGTGAAACTGAAGGAGGAGGAGAGAGAGAGAGAGGCGCAACAGATAGAGGACGAGAGAGGAGGAATGGCTGCTGCAAGGCTGCATAGGTCTGGAGATTGGTGGTGTACCTGTGAATGCTGTGCCCCAGTGCCCACAGAAGAGGAATGCCTCTGTTGCAAGGAATGGGACCGGTTGCAGCCTTATTTTCAAGGTCTGGATGTGACTGAGGACGAGACACCTCTACCTGGAGTAACGTTAGTATCCAGCTGGGCTTTATCTAGAGCTTGCGAGATATATTTCGGCCACTTTGGAAAGAAGAGCTAAATGGTAAACAAACATGGCACCACACGGTAAGGTAAGACAACACGTTCACATGTCGTTTTCTATATGTTCTCTGACATTTATCCTAACGATATGAGGCAGTCATTGTGGAAAAAAAGCTTGTTTAGTGGACTAACTTTGCACTTGAAATATGCCCGCTCACTTACGTTTTAACAGGTCTGACGCTACTATGTGCCCCGGCTGTATCTAGGCTAACGGCTAACATGCTAACTATTATTTTTATGTCAGTAGTCACTTGAAACAAATTTAGGATGATAGGAGACAGGTTGAAATAGATCGATATTTCCCTTTAACAAGCATGAGGAGACTTTGGTGCATATGTTTATAGAGACTGGGAAGTCTACATGACTGTGAGTTCTTTGCAGAGTGTTGCGTTTGTATTGTAATACCTATTCTGAACTTCTTAAATCTTGCCCCTGACAAATAACCCCCATTTTAAAATAAATTTAAAAAAACTAATACTAAAACTAATAAAAACTGAACTATAACTATACATTTTTAAACAATGAAAATTAAATTGAAATGCGCAAACCTACTCTGAAACTAACTGAATTGAAAACAAACAAAAATTAAAAACAAAATTAATATAAAAACTAATGAAAAATACAAAACCATAATAACTCTGGACTGTATCATCTCTTTAATAATATTTAAAAGACTTCATATTGTTTCCTTAATATTTCAGACAGAGTTAATATTATTCATTTCACTAAATTTATTGTTGCTCTTATTACAGTATTATCACTTCTGTACCGGTCTTCTCCTGACTTTTATTGTTATATGGTGCTGTGTTTATGGTGCTCACTGTTGTAACTGCCTTATCATACCTTGTCTTGGCTTTTATTATTATACTTTTTTTGTTCTTTTATTGTTCATATATTTTCCCCCTTGTTATTTTTCTGATGAAGATGTTATACCTGACACTGAAGCCACTTTAATCAATGTATATAAATAAAGTATAACACTGATGATATTAGTAGTTGTGACATCAGTATTTCTGTATTTAAAACTGATAAAAATTATGTGTTATTTGTATTTTTAAATGGAATCTTCTAATCTCAGACATTTCCTGTCTTTTACAGGATTTTATTTTCTGCTGTGGATGAAAAGGGTCTGATTGGTTCAGAAGGGTCACCTAAACAGGCCAGTATGGATTACTGTGTTATCATTCATGGCTGTAAAGGTTAAACTGTTCAAATAAATACATGACCCACTTAATACTCAAAGAAACCAATAAGTCTGAATAAAATATGCTGTTGAACTTGTGTTGTCATTGCACCCTGTCTTATCAGCGCGGTTCAAAGTATACTGTAAGTCGTGCCCTGGGGCGAGACGCAGGCCCGTGTAATGCAGAGCATGTTGTCAACAAGATTTTTGTTCTCTGGGAATTCCACAGATGAGGTCAGGTCTCCACTTATGTTTCATAGTTTGAAGATGACACACCCAACATCAAATTCTGAAACTGATATAACTTTTTATGATCAGAGGTAGGAATTAAATGAATCACAGTTTATGCAATACTTATGCATAACCACAAGAGGGACACAACGGGCTGCAAGAGAGAGGAGAGTGCACTGAGCAGTCAGGGCTTGGTGGGGTCAGGGTCAGTTGAAAATGTTTGTAATGTAACATTAAAACCACAGATAACTTATCTGCCACTGACACGAAACCAGTCCTGCAAAGTTAAACCTGCACTGACAGTCGGTTGTCTCTAACCACCCTGGATCCATGTGTGAACCAGAAATAGAAGTTGATTTCTTTTAATTAATCAGACAGTTCACAGGCATGGCCAACAGACACTGGTTATCCAATTGCAGAGTAACAACTGCCTTTTGTATTTCAACCAACAGTGCATGTGAACACTAAAATAGTTTTGGTCTGCAGTAAGATCTGGTGAGCAGCCAGAAAAAAATCTGTGTAAAATCATCAGAAGGGCACTGGTTACGCAAAGGAGTGGTTTTAAGTACTAGTTTCACATTCTGAGAAATGCTATTATTTGCTTTCTTGCCAAGCATTAGATGAGATCATGATCAATCAATTCCACTCTCATGCATGTCTGTTAAATATTAAGCTGGAGCAAGGAGAGTGGTTACCTTAGCTTAGCATAAAGACTGGAAACAGGGGGAAACAGCTTGCCTGGCTCAGTCTTAAGGTTACAACAATGCCTACCAGCACCCCTAAAGTAAGGGAGGCAAAACCTCCACCCTGATGGAAGCATCTGAAACTCAACATGGAGGGATGCTGACAGTCTGAGACAATAGTCTGGGCTTTAGAGGTGACCCTCTCTTTATATGCTGTAGGTTATTAAAAGTAACACCAGTGATCTCACAGCACAACTTGACCACTTTTTCCAGCGTTTTTTAAGGCTCAGATCACCAAACCAAACCAACAAGTAGAAAACAACAAGCTGGGGTTTTACAGGTATTTATGTGCGGCACTATTTCTTTGCCAAAAGCAGTGACTTCCTATGGTAGTGTTGTCACCCTGAGGTGTCAAGGCAACTCTAGGGAATTACTTCAGGGCCAAAAGATAGTCTAGCACATAACCCCCATAAAACTATAACTACTGTAACAGAGCCAGGTTAGCTGTTTGCACCTGCTTCTACTCTTTATATGAAGCTTAGTGTCTACTGGCTACAGCACCATGTTTAAAGAGGACCTCTAATGTTCATTTTCAGGTTCATAAGTGGATTTTGGGTTTCTATTAGAACATGTTTACATGCTTTAATGTTCAAAAAACACTTTTTTTCCCTCCAACTGTCTGCACTGAAATATGTGTATTCACCCTCTGTCTGAGATGCTCTGTTTTAGCGTCTGTCAGCATTTCCAGGACTTCCGTATCTCCAGGTTTCTGCATCGTCATTGCAGCTGTGGGAATGACTGTAACACAGTACAGTGGCACTTTCTACCTCAAAAATCACCAATAAACACTTCCAAACCAAAATCTTCACTACCAGACACGTTCTAGCAAGAGTATGATCAGAGATCAGGTAAAATTAACAACATCAGCATACAAGATAACACATTTCCCTGACGTTAGCATGTAGCTACATGTAGCAGTGTACTTGAAGCCAGGGAATTACAGTAATGGAGGAAATATAGTGGTACTTTCCGCTGTGAAAAATCCCCAATAAAACCTAAGTTAGTACCAAGATAACCACAACTGGACATGTTCCACCAGGAAAATGATTTGAAGTCGGGAGAAATCAACAAAATCAGCAAACAATATTACATGTTTACGTGTGAAAAATCACCAATAAAGGCCTCTAAATAAAAATCTTCACCACTGGACATGTTTCAGCAGGAAGTTGATCCAAAATCATGAAAGAATTAACAACATCAGCAACCAAGATTACATGATTTTCTTAGGTTAGCATGAAGCTACATGTAGCAGTGTACTTGCAGCTGGAGAATGACTGCAACAGAGTAACTATAGCGACACTTTCTACTGTGAAAAATCACTGAAAAAAGCTTCTCGACAAAAATCTTCACAATAAAAAATGTTCCAGTAGAAGTCTGATCTAAAATCCTTGATCCTTAATAGCACTGGCAACCAAGTTTGCGTGTTTCCCATGTAGCATGTAGCTACATGTAGCATTGTAGGCTAGGTAATGTAAACAGCTGCAGTGGCGTTCCTGGATATAAAAAAATCCGTAATGAGCTGGCGTCAACTTGTCTCAAAAGTAGAAAAAACATTGGAGTATTCAGAGTCTTTGCTCAAAGGGATTACTTTTACATACTCGTTATTTGAACCATTGGCCAGGTTTAATATGAACATCTGTCTTTTTAACATTATATTTACGACTGAAAAAAAAGGAAAAGCACAATAGGTCCTCTTGATAAGACAGAAATGTGAGCGGGAGTAAATCTACTCATCTACCTTTCAGCAAAAAAGCAAATAACGTGTCAAACTATTCCTTCACGTCACCAACAAATAAAATGTTTGCCTTTGAAATGAAAATCATCAAACTGCATCTGGCTGTGCATCTTGTGTGCACCCTAATCCTAGCTGTCCTTTAGTATAGTATTTGAGGACTCTAAAATTAGTCTAGTGTTGACAGTGAAATGTCTCTCAGTATCACTAGTCAAATACACATGCCCTGCAGTACAGTCTGTGTTTGATCTGACAACAAAGAGGCTGACTCTTTAGGATTTGGGGAGGCTATGTGCCCATATACTGTACATGTCTGTAGGGAACACATGCGCCTCGTCCATCGGTGGTTCATTTGCTGCCAAGGACAGAGATAAGGGCCGCCGCTCGTATGTAGCTACAGATCAAAGATTAGATAAACTGAACTGGCAGAGCAAGATGTTCTGATGTCCAATTCTCTGACCTGCAGAGGTTAACACCGCCCCTCCTGACATGGACTTTAGGGCTGCTTTAATGGTGTGCATATGCAGTATACACAGTGACTGGAGTGTAGGTCTCATGCAACAACAGTCTAAAAGCTTTCTCTCACCTTGATGGGGAAATAATCCCGCATGTGGTCCCAAAGTTTGAGGCCACACAAGTAGGGCACCCTGCGGCCTCCCCGTGCAGGCGTGTCATAGTCAATGTACCACCACACGGCGTACAGCACACTGATCAGCCAGAAGCGAGTGAACAGCAGGTAAAGGAAGAGGAAGATGCAGGTGGGTGCTGAGGAAACAGGAGAGGAGTGTCATGAGCAGCAACAACAAAATACAGATATGGTATACAAATGCAAAACACGCTGAATGAATGATTACTAGAATTCTAGAGATCATGTGTTTAGCTGGAATTATTAATATTCCGAATGCTCTGCATTGACTGCATTCAGTTCTGCTGGAGAGTACATCCCAAGTGGTTTGGTGGTTAGCAGAGCCATGCTGTTGTATAATGTGCTTGTATGATATCTACACAATTTAATATGATGTAACAGTTTTCGTTTTAGCTCACTGGTTTCCTGGGTGCACACAGTCATCAGTGTCCTTTCAAAAAGAATAATCGGAAAAATTAGCACCTGTTCATATTTCACTTGATCCAGGTTCTTTGCTCTTCATTATCAAAATGTTGTTTAAACCCTCTGGGCAAAATAAAAAATAATAAAATATATCAACTTTGTCACATCCGTGTTGTTTCCACATGACAACTTAAAGCTCATGAACACACACAAGTCGGAAGAATGACCATTCAAGGAGTATGTGAGTTCAACATTGGCCTTAGCTGGTGGAGATCTTGACTCGAGTCCTATTTAATTGGTCCTCGCCATGGGTGAAGGAAAGTGGGTGCTGAGGGTTTTCCAGCACCCACTATTGATTGGCAAGGGGTGGAACGACACCATCTGTACATAGGTGGCTGTTTCACCTTAACTAACGGGCAATCTGGATATTTGTTTTAAATTCTAAACAGCGTATGATCGGGTGCCTGTCAGAAAATATAGGAAAAACATTTTAATTATTCCTCCAGTCTGACATAGCAACACCATTACGTCCGGTCAAAGTGCAAGGGTCAGGGTCAGCTATCAGAACTACCTCCACACCTTTACCTTTAAATGATCACTTGCATCAGGTGACGGTCTTTGTGCTAATGATGAAATTATCTGGATGTATGTATTGTAAAAGAATTAAAATGGTTCTGTTTTAGTGGAATAAAGAGTGCTTGAGTTAGGAGGTTGAGCTGAGCATCCTCTCCCTCTTCCTTCTGCAGCAAGATCTAATATTGCAAAACTTGGTTTCTCTTTGTAGATTCAAGTCACTGCTGCAGAACACTGCAGAGCACTGCCTCGTCTGGCTGCTAATGTTTTGGGGTATTTACATTCTTGTGTTAATCTCACTAACACAAAGTGAGATGATATGTGAAAACACCCTTATAGTTGCCTTTGCAGTGCACCTGCATTAGATTCTTTGCTAATCAGCATGATTATTTAGGGGGGGTTTCACATATAGTCCTTTTTAAACAAACCGAACTCAGCCCTCTTAAAGTGCACCAGAACGTGGACCGACAGAAAGGGGACTCAGTTCTTTTTGTGTCCACATTGTCAGTCTATTTGAAAGAGGACTCAGTTCTCTTTCTGGTCAACATCAGCTCTGACAGTCCTCTACCTGTTCACACTATAGCCTTTATATATATATATATATATATAATATATATTTAAATAGTTTTCTTTTTACTTTGATGTGGCACTACAGTGTGGTTATGAAGCCCTTCGCTTTCAGATGAATTTAATTGGAGTAAAAACCGGAGTGTTTCCGTTCTGTAGACTGTTGCCGTTTGATGTATTCTACATTCCACATCTGGAGATGTGCAGTATCTTCTGTGGACCAAACTACTCCTCGTCCTGCGTCCTTGCAAGCGTTACAGGCTGACATGGTTTCGTCTGTTTTTTTTTTCAAGCGTCCCAGTGCAAAAGCATGCAATCTTGAGGGCTACAATGCATTGGCAAAGAGCAAAGGGAACCTGGAGTGCTTTGTGTTCACAAGGCACAGGTTTGGTGAACCGCACTGCGGACTTGAAGCGAACCAAACTCAGACCATCTCCCACGGTGGTCTGAGTTCAGTTCGCTTCAGAGGGGTCTGAGTTCTCTTGGAGTTTTCACATATGTCACATATGCAAAAAATGCCAAGTCACCGCTCTGAGTCTGTTTAGAGGTCTGAAAAGGACCAAGTGTGAAAACACCCTAAAAGGCACACCTAATGGCAATCAATCACAAAGTGACTCTGGTGAAGCAACATGTGAAACTCATAGTTTGCTTCTTTTTGTTTAAAATGTTAGTGGTCAATAAAATAATTGTCAACCTGACCAGTCAGAAGTGGTCAACTTCACTCTGCACGTCCTGCTTGGCTCCCTCTTCTGGCTGTCCAGCAGTTCATGTCAACAGTTCTCTTCCTCTCATATTCACTTACACTTTGCCCAAGAGCAGCTAGGCAGGTAGATTTATGCCTAAAATCCCATCAGCACAGGTGTAGATTTTGACAGGATGCAGGAGACACATCCTCCTTAATGTCCCCCCTGGTAACATGAATGTAGCAAGGGACTTTTTTAGACGGACTGCTGCAACAACGCCTCCTGTGAAGTTGGTGGTGGCAGTATGCAACCTCAAAAGCAGCAGTTGCAATCGGACATAAAACTTGAAGCAGGAAACAGACTAACATGACATTTCCATTGTAAATTGATGTAGAAAGGCACAATTGGTGCATAAATAATCACCAGAGGACCTCCACACCCCCTGTTTGATATGTTTCTACACCCTTCCCCATCAGTATCATTTCCAGTTGTTTCCAGTGAACACACATATAAGCATGTACACTCACCCAGGCCAAGGAAGGAGTAGACCCACTGCAGCACCGCAGCCGTCTGCAGTCTCCTGTGCAGGGGCAGTTCCAAAGGGGCAAAATCAATCATGTTTTCCACGAGGGGAAAAGAGACAGACCGAGGCGCTGCAGCCGGTGGTGAAGAAGAAGAGCAAAGTGGGTAAAGTGGGTCCAAAGTCTGCCCTTCTCACCTCTCCACCATCACCTCCTACTGACGGCCTTATCTCAAATGCTCACTGCAAGGATTGATTTGTCAATCCATATCTATCACGTTTGACTTTTGACCCTGTAGGGACAGAGCTGCATGTGGAGAGCATTCACACATGAGCAATGATAATAACTCAGTGGAAGAGGGGGAATATCAAAGGGCTTTTTGTGTTGCTCTAATTCAACTTCCTGGCAGTCAGTGGTTAGCATGACTGTGTAATATAACGGTGTGGTTGTAATGGCAGCCCCATCTGGTTGAGCAATCATGTTACTGCATCTCAGGGTGCGGAGATTGATAAAGGTCCTTTGTAGAGGCACTTTTATAATCACATATTGTCATTGTCATCAGTATCACTTTGTAATTATTTTGATATTGGTTTAAGAAAAGGGCACTTGTAGTTTTGTAAAGCAACATAACTAAGCCCATATGCTGTGTGTGCAGAGAGGTTATTCAAGGTGTCGATGAAAGAAAAAAAGCTGAAAGAAGATAGTGGAGGAGCCTCCCATGCCTTGCATCAACAATAAACACACAAGTCAGGCGCTCAGGGGAATGTCAAACCGTGCATATTATTGCGCTCTCTGTCTTTATGTTTATCCATCAATCTGTTTCCCTCATTAACTCCTATTAGATTGACATTTGCCGGGGCCAATAGGTATAACTGCCATTCCATATACTTTGGCCCTTTGATTGCATCCTCATAAATTATTGATTCATTCTGAGCTTATCTTAATTACCTCATTAATGCTGATCTTAAACACTCAGCCAGTCAGTCAATGTTTTACCTGCAGCCCTGCAGAAAAAGAAGTGAATGCAGTAAAATAAAAGGAAAAACACACGAGTGATTATTGCTTCTTAAAAATGAGCTGTCGGCCTCCATTATTAAAACCTCTCTTTAGATAATGTGCATGTCTGTCAGATGTCTTAGAAATTGTAGTCCGATGTGAAACAGGCCCTCAGGGTGTGTAATGAGTCGGCATTATTCATGTGTTCTATTTGCTGGCACACAGTCTGCAGCCGCTAGTGTCTTTGTCACAAAGGCAGTTTTGCATGAATCAGTAGCAGTGGATCTTTTTTGGCTTTGATAGGCTGTATTGTGCATAATTTAAATGAGATTACTATTGTTATTCAGAACCTTCCTCCGTATAAAAATTAACTTCCCATTAATTATTTATTATATTAAGTCTAGTAGTGGATGACAGTAATTTTAACCAGTTATTCTTAGTAATCATTTTATATTTCCTCCTCATCCTCCTGAGACCCTGCGTCCTTATATGCAGACATCACATTGTGGCTTTACTGGACCTTATACTTCATCCTACTTAACTTAGACCTGTTGTCCTCGTTCGTGGACACTTTTTTTGTGCCATCTAGTGGTAGTAAGAGCACAATACACTAATCCATGTAAAAACAAGATGGCAGCCATCTCTGCTGAGTCAGTCTGCAGCTGATCCTGACACAAAAGTGGACAAGGTACAGAACCTGATCACATTTTATGGTTGAAACTTGTTTATCTATGATTAATAATGTTGGTAGTTTGATATGGCAACAGATTTGATCAATTTTAGCAGCAGCAACCAGCTAAGACACTGTTAATTAGAAAGTACTCTTTTGAAGACATTAGGACTTTGCTATTGTTGACTATGTTTATCTTTTATACTTATCAGGTGCTATTAATCCCAAAAACAAAAGTGTGGGTCTCAGGAGAATATATTGCCTTTTTTATTTTTTTATTTATTTTTAAATTTAATTTCCACTCACTTTCTTATTGTTATTTATGAAATATGAACAAATATTTAAACATTGAAAGAAACAGAAGCAAGGTGATGGCTGGAGGGCCAAACGTCGCTCCTCCTGTACCACTACGCAGTGTGCGTAAAAATACGCACGTCAAGTTCCCTGTGTTCACCGGAAATGTATGTTCATATTTCAAAATTAAAGCAGCAGAATTGAGTTTTTATGGCCATAGATATGGGACTTCAAAATAATTGACCTATTACATAAATGCTCACGCAGCTCTTTTATTATTATTAATATAAATATAAATACACCGTTTCAAAGGAGCGTCACAACGGCTTAGAGGTTGCAGATTAAACCGGAACACCTTTCATATTCTTTCCGACTTGACTTTGATTTTTCTCCTCGGTGGGTCCAGTCCTGTGTCTCCGGGATGCTGAGCAGGCGGGCGGGGCTGTTTTTCGTTGCAGTGCCCTGCCGTGGAGTGATGTAGCAAGACGCACGGGACAGAGCGGGCACAGGAGGAGAAGAGGAAACATCAGGACGACTGCTTTTTATTCGAGTAATACATTCAAATCTGTCTACAAGCAAAATGGATTTAGTGAAAACCCCAATCTAAAGTCAGCAGTATTGGAGCCCTCCGTGCATCCTGACACACACGGACATCTTGTTTCTCTCCTATCAGGATACCGGAGTGCAGAGACACATCTTTCTTCATTTTGGACCGGTGCACAGTGAATTGTAGTGGAGCTCTGTACAGCTCACCATGGCGTGGCCCTGTATCAGCAGGGCGTGCTGCATGGCCCGCTTCTGGAACCAGTTGGACAAGGCTGACATTGCGGTGCCTTTGGTCTTCACCAAGTACACGGACGTCTCTGAGATGCAGCACATCCAGCTGCAGCCGCCGCTCCACCCTCCCCAGGCCCGGGTCGCCATAGAAACGCAGCCGTCTCGCGCAGACAACCGCACCACGACAGCGGCGCGGCCGCCGCGGAGGTGCGTCTCTGAGGAGCGCGTGTGCAGCTCGGTGATGCGCGAGGACTTTAAGCACTGGAAAGTGCGACCCGAACCGAGCTGTAAACCCAAGAACGAGTACCACGGACCGGAAACACCGTTCAACAGCGAGACCCAGTACCAGAAGGACTTCAAACCCTGGCCCATCCCGAAAAGGTACGACCATCCCTGGATACCTAAACAACCTCCGAGTGATGACCGGGCTCCGGACAGGTCCAGGCACGCCAAGCAGCTGGCGGATGCGGACAGCGGGGTGGAGAAGAGCGCTATCGCCGACAAGGTGCAGGAGAAAGACCTCCTGCAGGGGCACGAGAGGAAAAAGAGGTCCAGTAAACAGGAGGGGCAGAAGAAAGTTGTCCTGAAGGTGGAAGGAGAGGGCAGAGGGAGGGCGGCGGATGCTGTGAACAGGCAGATCAAAGAGGAGATCACAGCCGACAGCTCATACAAGTGAGTGTATCATCACAGCACACTGGGAGCCCAGGGGCCTCAGACATCCATGAGGGGTCATAGGAGTCATTATACTGTATTAATCACACATTTATTCATGCACTTTATTATCAGAGGGACAATTATAATCAGGGGTTTCACATACTATGAATGCAGAGGACACAGCAATGAACGGGGTGTCAGGTAAAAATATTAAGGGACTGTACGAAAATTATTGGGGTGTGAAGGGGTCCTGAACATTTTGGTTTTTAAAAAAGTAAGCTCTCTTCAGCCTAATAATCTTTCCTGTGTACCCTAAGACTAAAAACTACAACACCTTCCCCACAGGAGTAATATCCCACCAGAAAATGTAGCTTTGTCATTAAAGGTCCAGGTTGTAGGATTTGGGGGCATCTGTGATCATAAACGAAGTATAATTTTTATAACCGTGATTTCATTGGTGTATAATCACCTAAAACTAAGATCTGTGTTTTTGTTACCTGATAATGAGTTGTTTTGTCTGCGATTTTATGTGACGTTCACCTCCCCAGAAATCTAACTGCATGTCACGGCGAATGATCTCCTGTCTATTTTATGTAAGCTAAAACCATTTCCCTCAGTGGAAACGATGTTTATATTTACTTTAATTTCACATATAAGAAACAATAAATTGTGAAGACAATAAAGCCTCCACAAAATAGCATTTTAAATCTTGTGTGTGATTTATTGTGGCTTCATATGAGTAGCCTATAGGAAAAGTCCGCTCATCGCTAGGCTAATTTATACAATGTGAAATGCCATAACCTTGTGCTAATAATGTTAGCATGTTGTGTTTGTTGGAAAACGTGTTTAGTATAAGACAGTTGTTTTGTATGTGAACCTTGTGAGTTGTAATGGAGCTGAATTTTGTAACGTTACCTTTGTTAAATGTTGCTGTTGTCCCTGGCTTCATATGAGAGGAAACGTCCGCTAGCCACTAGGCTAATTTATACAATGTAAAATGCCATAGGCTTGTGCTAAAAACATTAGCATGTTGTATTTGTGGGGAAAATGTGTCCAGATAAAGACAAGTACTTTGTCTGTGAATGCTGCGAGTTATAGTGAAGCTGATTTGTGTGATTGTGTTTGAAATTGTCTCTATTAAGCCATGTTTAATGTGTGTTTTGAATCAACTAAACTTTACAGCACTTCACAGAAATCCCAGTGCTGACTAGTCGTTCGGAGGTGTAACTGCAGAGTGACACAGACACACCACTGCACAAGTATAAACGCTCACAATGGTGTAGTCCAAGTGCGTGGGCTACGGCATAGGCTCTGCATAGAGCTGACACACAAGTACAAAATTATGACAAATTTAACAGAAATCTGCGTCCTGTCACACATTTCATTTTTAAAACACAGATTGGTCATTGAAAATGTGATTAAGGATTTCACATGGCTCTTATAATACATGCAATATGTTTTTGGAACAGTGTTTATTAACCTTATGGATCAGTGGGTCTCAAGTGGCCCAGCCACAGGGTCCAGAGTTCTCCTCAGGTCCACACAGTATAGCGTATTCAGTGCCATACTTGCGTTTGCCCATGTCGTCAACCTAGTTTGCTGTCTCTGTTGAGTAGCTTTCCGTTATTTACTCATTCTACAGCAGGAATCAGCACTTCAAAATAAAAGATCTGTGCCAGAAATTCACTGTGCTTCAAAATAAAGTGTGTTTTTTTACAAACTGGACACATTCTCGAGTCACTTGCGGACTGTTATAGATTAAATTGTGCTAAATTTTGACTGTTTTCTGATTGTTTTTTGTTTGTTTGTTTGATTTTTAGTTTTAGACTAGCCGACTAGTCTAAGTTTCAACTTTTATTTAAACGTCAGGTAAATTAGTCATTAGGAACATCCCATACTGCCAGCACACAAACACTCTTTGGCAAAAAGAAAACATACCTACCCCTCCTCCTTTTCTGAACCACCCTTCCCCCCAAATAATTTTCATACAGTTCCCTCTTAAATGGAGGCGGGGGCCCTGCCTGGATGAAAATCTTCAAAAAACGGTCCATTAAATCATCAAAGCTTTGTCATTCGTTGCATTGCTGGCCTGAGAAATGTGAAATGTGAATGTTTCCACAACACAGGACTTAATTGAGGGTTACTAATTCATCACGTAGTAAACAGTAATTGGACGCCTGTTTATTTGAAACAAGCAAATCAGAGGTACATACAGCATGTGAAAACATCACAGAACTGTTATTTCCCCACAGAAATAATCAAATTAAACAGAGAAGGTCAAGGTGGAGTTGACTGTTGATATTTAGGTCTGCGGGGTTAATCTCTGCCCTATTATGCAATGTTCAAGAGGATGATGGGGACTGGTGGCGGATGGATGAGCATCAAGTCACGCACATCACAGTCACTATACGCATGTCTCTTGAGGATGTGCCTTGATGTTATCGGCTGCAATTATGTTCTGGGAAGGCTGTTAGCTGTGAGAGTGTGAGACGATGTGATATATGAGATCCATTTCACACTTGTGACTTGATTTTTGTGGGTTTTTTGTTCCTGCCGCTGTAATCTGGCTTTTAGTGGATTTTTAGGGGATTTAGAGCATTTACTGTTTTATTATCTGTCTTACCTCAGCATAGAGTCATATTCCAGCATTTATACTGAATACTACAACCTGTAAAACATTTCATTTGATTCACAGTGTCCTCAAAAGGGATGGAAATTATTGTATTTTGACTCAGTGTTGGGCTGATACAGTAACCCTGGTGTAAGTGTGACGGGGCTGGCAGAGGTGAGCGGCGCTATGTGAGGTCAGTGAGTGAGTCTTACAGCTGTTTGGTGCCCGTTGCTGCCGTGCCTGTATTGTTGAGCAGTCAGCAGGGTACGGCCTGGAGCACTTTCCCCCCTGCGTGGCATGAAATGGCTGCACCGTGACAAGCAGTGGCTTAGTCAAGTCTCTGTCTCAGTCTGCCAGCGGAGACTCAAAGCAGGTCAACTGTGGGTTAATGTCATGTGTGCGTACAGACACACAGCAGACACACACACACAAACTCACATATAACACATGCACTAAAAAAATTGTGTTAAAGTATGTTTTGACTTTGTCACTTTCTAATTATTACGCATAATCACACAGGAACATCACTGCAAACAAACAAAGACTGATTCCTCAATAAGGTCTGGGCACTATCCCAATATTAATAATTTTCTGATGGGTTATTTATCATTGGACAGTGTTTCACTGTTGCTCATTACATCTGCATGTACAACAAAACTGTTGTATTTTGTTAGCTTTTCACTACAATTTCCCTTGAACCATTCATTCCGACATCAATTTGCAAAAACAGTACAATCGAATCATCACAAAAACACATTCGATTACAGAGCGAGACACTTACTGAATTGTTTCCCAGCTCTAGGCTGAGTGGCACAAACATGATGAATGAGAGGGGCAATAACAAGCAGAAACAATAACCATTTATCACCAAAAAGTCATCAGAACAAGAAAAAAAATGCATACTGGGGCCCAAATACAGTTTCAAGCTATGTTCTGATCATCAACAGGGTTATAGTTTTGTTGTGGTTTGCTCGTCACCAAGCATTTGAATTGCTGACCGCAGAAGAGTGAGATCAATCCTAATGAGGAATCTTCATCTTGATTACTGCTAATAACCTTAAAACAACATCAGGATCCTCATTTGTGCAGTTGTAGTAAAAACTAGATTGATAAATTAGCCAGGTGGATGTATCACAGTCAATATATATATTCGGATATATTACAGATGGATCTGTATCAGAGAACAACTCGCAAAAAATTGAAGTAAAGAAATATTTGAGGACAATTAGGGCGTTGACACCAACAGTTAGAATGATCCATCCATCCAGTTTCAACCACTTATCAGAAGCTGAGTCACGGGGGCAGCAGGCTGAGCAAAGTATTCCAGACGTCCCTCTCCCCAGCAACACTTTCCAGCTCCTCCTGGGGGACCCCGAGGCATTCCCAGGCCAGACGAGATATACAGTATAATCTCTCCAGCAGGTTCTGGGTCTGCCCCGGGCTCTCCTACCAGTTGGACTTGCTCAAAACACCTCTAACAGGAGGCACCCAGGCCAGAGCCAGTGTGCGACACCAGGGGTCAGCATGCCCGGGCTCCGGTGTCCCCATACTGGGCAAGGTATTCTTTCCCAGAATGGTCCGTGGCATCATGGTCTTCTTGAACTGCTCTTAGTCTGGCCCCTCCTCTGCTTTGGGAGACCCTACTAGGTGCTAAAAGCCCTGGACTACACATCTTCCAGGATCACAAGGACACGCAAGCCCCTCCGCCACGTTAAGGTGGTGATTCTTGGAGGGGAGTTTGAATCATATTCAATGAATAAGCGCCCCACAAATGGCGTTGTCACGTCGCATACTTAACACAAAGTTACATACTTAATATAAAGTTACATGGGTAAGGTTGAGGAAAAGAAACACGTTGATGACGCACCTTAAAATAACGCAAAGTTCACCAGGTTTCATATCTGTCTCCTGGGGAAAGTCCTGTGTTTGTGATGCGTCCACCACAACAAACTGCCCCCTTATGTGGACTGTCGGTTTTTACACCACTTCCTTAGTCCTACAAGCCAGGAGTCACATGATCACAGCCTGTGTCCTTGCTGCAGCCCCCTGCCACATGCATATATGCATTGAGTCCTACTGATCCTAAATAGCTAGGAGAAATAAAAAGTTTGGGTCTCAGGAGGATGTTATGTGTTTATAGAAAGGGAAAAAATTATCATAGTAAAATTTTGTAAATTTAAATATGGGTATCGGCCATGACAAATCGTGTCTCAGTTGGTTGTTGTAGTTAATTCTATTCAGTCAGTGAATATAGACTCTGTAGCGGGAAGCACCTTTTATTCAGGAGACACATTCACTGTCTATTCAAAGCCAGCCTTCATTCAGTTGCATGGTTCACACCAGGCCAATTACACGTGAAGTCCTGTTTCCCCCTCAGCCTTATTGTCTGACGTTTTTATAAACTTTT